CAGACCTCGCTTTTCAAGACAGCATGAAGGAGCAGCTCTTTAGGTAAGCCAAAGCTACATTTCTTTTTATGGATCAAACCAACTGTCTGTACTGCATTTTAGTTCTTTAAAAGTTTTTTTTTTCTCATTAAGTTCCCTTTAGTAAAATGACAAACATATTAATAAATGTAATTACTTTGTTTCTCTCAGGTGTAAACTGCACATGCTGGAGAAGAAATGCAGTATTGGAGTGGAGAAGCTGAAGGCTCTGATTGGAGAACACCTGCAGAATGGGATCCCTGTTTCAGACATCATGGAGAAAACAAAGTCCTTCCTCACCTTGAGAAAAGCCCTGCTGTCACACAACGGCTACTCCAAATATTCAAGGGACATTTTACGTCTGTTTCCTGACGCAGAGGAAGACTTGGCTCCTCTGTGCTTTTAATGACGAGGAATGATGAGGAATGGACTTGTAGGAAATCACTAAAATTGCAGTTTATTGATATGTGAACTACAGATTCTAGTGATACTAGCTGCTTCTATGTGTGCTGAAGATCTGTCGATTATAGGGAAATGCGTTATTTGCATTATGAGATCTACAGAACCCTCATATTGTGGTTTCATTTTGGCTTCAACGGTCGCCGGAGGAAGAAAATTGGATTCAGAAGAAAAGGTGAAGAGGTCACTGACTGAGAAGAAGAGTCCGTCGCTACGTTGTTAAAATATGTTGTGCTGCTATTTGTGGAATTTATGATTCTCATGGTTGTAGACCACAGAAGATAAACCTGGTCTCTTAACTATGCAGGAATTTGTTGTTGATGTTTAAATGTTTAGGAAATGTTTTAACATTTTTATTGATTAACTGCAGTAAAATCTGCTTAGAATGTTAAGCCCAACAGAGCACCTATTCTTCCTGTGAAAACACTGTATTAGCTAATATTGTGCTGATTACAGTTTGCATACAGTGTCTTACCACCTTGTTTCAAGGTATAATGTATTGCATTCTTAAACACCAACCTTTCTTCTGAAAAGGGATTTGTTATTATTTTGTGTATGCCATGTATGCATCTTATGTTCCATTGGCCATTTTTATTTTTATTTATCCAAAATGGATTGACATTTGTTTCAGTGTTTTTTCAGATTTCTAGAAAATAAATATGTAAGAGATTTAAGATGTTTTTGTGTCGACTCCTTTTAATCACTATTGGGGAATACATCATTTAAACTTAAACTTAAAAATAAATTCAGAACTTAATCTGAACAATCCAGATAATTAAATTTCAGATGGATTTTTATCATAATTCAGGTTATTAAGCAGAACAAATGCTTTTAAAAAACCATGAACAGCATGGCAACACCATGCCTCCTCCAGGACAGACCTTCTGTCAGCTGCCACCACCATACATGTACAGGCTGTTGACAAATTAAACAAAAAATATGATCAAAACAGTAGAGAGACATAACGAATATGGAATAATGAAATAACAGAAGGACTATAGGGTTCAATGAGTTGTATAATGAGTATCATAATCTATGGCCTTTGCATATACCAGCTCTCAGCCTACAGGAGACTGATGTATTAGGCAGCTTCTCTCTAACGGTGAAAACATGAAATGAGGCCAGAGGTTCTCAACCTGGGGTCCGGGGACCCCCAGGGGTCCTTGAAAGAGTTTCACAAGGCCCCAAAAATAATGGGGAATACTTAAATTTCACTATTATTTAACTGAGATGTTAGCCCAATGAGAAAGTGTATAACAAGAATTATTCTGATAGTAGGTTTCACACTCTTCACTGTT